AAAAAAAAAAAAAAAAAAAAAAAAAAAAAAAAAAAAAAAAAAAAAAAAAACAGAACAAGAGCTGGTGCAAGCTCTATAGCCATAAATGGAAAAGTACAAGAAGGCATAAGATAAGAGAATAAAACCAAACAGAATAAAACAAGACAAAGTACTCTAAGGCATTAGAAAACCCAAACAGAAGAGTGGTTGTAAGAAAACACCTTTAATTATGCATAGTAGTAAAACATAGGAAGAACCATCTGTGTCTGCTAATGTGTATATATAAACTGTTATCAATGCTAAAAAGATGTTATTAAAACTTTGAGATTATTTACATAATTATATTATTGTACTATTTAAAACTTTGGTAATCATATACTCTTAATTTGATTAGCAAATTCTTTTTTCCTTAAAAAATATAGTAGAAATTAGAATTTTGATTTCAGATAATGCTTTAAAATAGTCGGTGGCAATATAATGAGGGTTAGGTAACACGTACCCACTTTCTTTGAACAAGGTATTTAAATTAAATTTCTAAATTTTTATATATTTTTTTCTGCTTGAATTGTTTTGGACAAGGTTTTGTTATGTAGCTCAGGCTAGCAAGCAACACACTATGTGGCCCAAGCAGGCCTTAAAATCCTATGCCCCAGCCTTCTAAATGTAAGGTTGCAGGCATATGGCATCATGTTCAGACTTCAAATATATTCCTAACAATGACATTTTAACTTGCCATGAAAAACTGACCATTTCCTTTATTCTTTACATGTTGGTGGTATAGTGGAAAGCATAAACACCTTCCTTTATTTTTTTTGAGGACAACATTAAAGTTAAAAATACCTTTCTAAGATTGCTAATTTTTATAACCTGAGAAAGTGTATCATAAACAATTGAGAATTCTTGATGAAATTCATGCTCACCTTTAACCTTTACTGGAACATTCATTCTAAAAATTGTTGATAAAAACAAATGACTTTTAATACTAATAGAATAATGCATAATAACTAAATCCAAATACGTGCAAACATAAAGTGACTCTGATGTAGATTTACATAATAATAATAAACAATAGTGAGATTACTTGTGAGCTATTATTTATAATTTACATTGGTATAGATTATAGTATATTGACACAAGTTCAAATTACATTTGTTGTATTGAATATGCCCCATTTCTGTTTACATTATTTGTGCACCTATGCAAAGTTATTTTGTCATATTGTATGTATGCATGTTTCTATCTCTGCTTAAGATGCAATTTTAGCACTATATATTTCTACCTCTGA